GGCGGCCCCCTCGCCTCCCCTGACCGGGGGTCGGCTGCAGGCAGGGGGTAAGAGCGCGGCTGGGGGCTTGGGGATGAGCAGGTCACGCTGATGGCACTCCGCAGATGGAACGGGCTGCGAGACAGCCACGCAGCATCGCCCTCAGCGCAGAAAAGCTTAACGTTCGAGTGCGACCGTAGAAGTGCCAGGAGCATCCTCTGCAGGATTCGGAGGATGCGCGCAGGTATGTAGAGACCCATTTCCCCATCTCGGGAAGCTCTCAAGCGTTCAGCAATTCTGGAAGGCCATCAGATACCACGGGGCAGCAGTGCCTCCGTCACGCACGGGAGTTACACCCAAGTTGCAGCCACAGCGTGGGTTTGAGCCGGGATGCCGAGAGCTCGCGGCCATCACGCTGCCTGTGTTTATGGTAAGTTAAAGTACGCAACAGAGGACTGTCGAGTCTTTCTTCGTCACTCCTTCCCACATAAAGCACAAAGCCAACCCCGTCACCAGCACCCTCAGCCTTTGTAACCCACAGAGACAGTAGTATTTTACAAGCTGTTAGCACAGAGCAAAGTTTTTCTTGCTTTCTGGTGCCCTCTGCTGCAGTGCACCTATCGAGGAACAGCTTACCAGATCTCGGTCGTGCAGCTGGGTCACTAGATCAGACCTACACCCCTGATCTGGCTGCTGCCCTGGTTTTGTCTCGGGCTTTCCCCAGTCTTTCTATCAGCCACTGTGTCCTTGTCTTTTCTCCTCATCCTCTCTCTTGAAGCAATGCATGCTTCCAGTTGGAGAGCTGAGTTTGGGGAAAGAGATCAAATACTTCTCCCTACAACACTGACTCTGTGTGGGGAAAGGACTGCTGAGGATCATTTTGAACCCCCCCCAAGAAGAGCAAGCCCTCTTGCAACTTGCCACGCATGAGAGCCAGAGAAAAGCTGCTGTCTGTGCAAAAGGGCAGTGGTTACTATGCGATTCTGAGGGCACTGCAGAAATCCCCGCAGAAGCTTTGGCCACGCACACTCGGCCCGCTCTCCCTCTCTCTTCGTTGTTAGATGCACATCAGCTCAACTGAGCTGCTCCTCAGATACCATTCTCAGGGCTGCTTCTCCACTCAGTGCACGCGCCAGCTATAGGGAGCGTTAAGGAGTCAAGATAACTTTAAGTATGGGCTGAGGCTTGATGCTCCGCTCCCCTCCTCAGGTAGGGCCGGAGCCTGCTGTCCCATCTTTGTTGTTGGCAAAGATTGTCCTTCAAGAACCAGTTCACGGCCTGAACTTCCCTAAATTATGCGGGATGCTAATCTTACTGCACGATATAGCCACCTCCCAGGGAGCAGGCGAGGGAGAGCTTACCTGGAGTGACTCTGTCCAGGAGACTCTTCCTTGTCTGCTCAGGCGCTCCTAGATCACCTCCAGCATCCTGTACAAAGGACGGCCACAAATACAGTTGTTACCTAATTATGATACAGCTAAAGCTCTAAGCCCCACCCCAATTACTAGGAAACAGTGAACAACTGTGCTTAGGCCCTGTTTCCAGTTATTTTTCTAAAGGTTTGCCAAATTTCAACTTTTTGGCAAGATAATGAAAAGGAAAGGTACCCAATATCCCAGTTCCTTTTATTCATCGCCCACAAAAGTGCAGTCCCTGGAGAGTCCTAAAGCAGGACTGAAGTATTGAAAGACAATCAAATCTCAGTGACCAAATTAAAACAGAATTTATACTTCATTACAGTACTCTGTGGGCTGCACTGCACACTAACTTCTGCCTTCCCCCCTACCTGCTATTTGTCATCTTAACGAAGGTCTCTTGCTCCCACGGTGATATAAATAAATGAGACCACACTGTGCTAGTGGGCACTGAGCTGCCGCGTTACAGCAGGTGTGCAAGATAGTATGTTACATCTCCACGTCTTTGATTCTTACCAAGACTCCTTGGGATCCACCTGCCTCGTGCTGCAGGAGCTCTGGGAAGCGCTATTCATCCCAGAAGGGGACTGTGCTTATGCTGGAGAAATAAAACAGGATATGAAAATTAGGTATAGACAACTGAAAGGAGGGGGCAACGGTTATCAAATGCAAGCGCTTAGAGGGACTGGAGATTAGGAAGAAGGTTGTGTTCTCCCTTGAAGCAATCTCAAGGCATTTTCTGAGGAGGTGTTATCCAAATGATCTGCTTTTTGAAATATGATAAATCTAGTGCAGGTCAGAAGAGCTGTTTTCCTGTCCTTCCTGACTGCCTACGACCAAATTAATTCTGCTAATCCATATATTAGTTCTGGCTAAAGACAGGTTGTAAAAATGTTGTAGCTCTCTAAAAAGGCCATTGCTGAACACCATCTGTTAATTTATTTTCTTGGGTCACCAAAAATAACAAAAAAAAAAACCCAACCTTCTTCCTGTCGCAGCCACAGCTCTTTGTTGATGCTGCCTTGTGCTAGAGCTGCCAGGGATAGCAAAGCTGGCCTGCTGGTCTTTGGCACCTGGAGCCCAGTCTCCCTCCACCCGCAGCAGTGGTATAAGCTTGCTGAACCTTTTATTCACTTATCCCTTGCGAGTGAGATGTTCGTGCAGACCAGGCACTCACTTTGCCGTCTTGTTTCTTTGGCCGATTCCCAAAGGTTCTCCAGTTCTCCCTGCGTCCTTCAGCAAAAACGGGGAAGCTAAAATCTGGTATTTCTGTGTACAGACGCAAGTAGAATAGTTTATGTAGAAGCAGAGTAAACGTTCCAGGCCACCTTTATATATCACAAAGCAGCAAAAATAAACAGATAAAAAGGTTAAAAAGTTACTTTTTTTTTTTTTTTTGCTTTACAGGCAAGCTTCGGAGTCCTGATTTAAGACAATGTAAAACTCTTGCTTAACACACGCTTAAATGCCATTATGCCCGGTACTTTGGGAGGAGTGATTGACTTAGATTCATTAAGAGCTCTTTTCCCTGCCCATAAAGTGCAGAATGTAACAACACAAGGCTCGCAAAAGCTGATTCCCAGACAGCTACTGGTTTCTGTGAGCTGCAGGTCAGATGCAATGATTCGTGGCATAAAGGAAATTCTGAGACATTGCAGCAGATCAAGGGACAATGCTGCTGTCGCTTGGCTCTCGGAATGAGCTGTGCTGCTGAGACCTTCTGCAGCTGGCGTCCTCTCTCCCTTTGTCCATCAGCACTGCCACCAGCACGGGGCAGATCTCTGGCAGGAGAGCACTGTGGAAAAGCACGCAGTTCTTTTTAAACACCTTGCTATTTCAGAAAGCACACTATTTCTTACGCCAATTCCAGAGAAACCCTGCTAATTTCAAAAGCTTCGGCTGCGTAAAAACTGCTTCAAGAGAATTGGATTTGGTGGCTCCTTTAACTGCTAAGGCATCAGTTGTTATGCAAATTATTCCTAATGGTTCGGGAATTAAATGTATATTACAGTGCTGAATGCTCCTGCAAGGATTTTAAACTCTGTGGAATATTTGTACCTGCTAAATCCACAGTGAAATTAGATGAGCTGTGAATTTTCTACAGGTAAAGAGCTGGGGCAGAGAATACAAAGGACTGGAGAGGCACAAATGTGTCCCTGGAGCCCCTCTGTCCTGGGGAGAGGAAGGAAAATGCCCCTCGCTGCATGGGTGGTGGCATTGCAGTAGCACAGTTCTGACGGTGGGGAGATCAGTAGTAGTTGCTTTACCTCTCCACGTTGTGACCCTAGGTACAGGCAATGAAAGTGGAGAGAAATAAATGCTATCACAGCCCCTTTTGCTTCACACACAGCCACAGCGAGCAAGTGATCATCCTGCCTGCCACATGAATACTGCAGCAAGACCAAGGCCTTCTGAAGATGGCTGCATCTTTCAGGGCCGAGTAAAATCCTTGATCTTCAAATCCAGGTGGTGCAGATAAACAGAACGCCTTCGCATTTTCCAACGCAAGCCGGAGGAAGCAGCTGATTGGTAACTATTCATTTCTCACAATGTCGCCTCCTGACGATTTTTAGAAATCAAATGGTTTCATAGCTACTCTTTTAGCAGCACCACCACCAAGCACCTTATTAAACTTTCACTGGTTATACTGACAATATATGGGACCTACAAGTCTTTTCTACAGAAGTGCTATCCTTCTAAGCTGAAAGTCAATAGGAGCTGTAGGTCCATTTCCCCTGTGCACGCTGAGTGGTCCCGGTGAATGTAAGTGGGATGGCTGGAACCAGGTCCCGAATTTCCCTGCCTCCTCATGTTAAAGGGCAGTATTACCACGCTGCATCTCATGCCAGGTTTGCATTATCCTGCTAGAATCCCATCAAGTTCGCAGGCACCATCTGAAAACCAGAGGATGTTTGGGATGGGTTCTTGCATCATCTGTGTGGAACAAGCAGTATTTAATAAATACAAACTCTGAGATACATGGAAAACTGCGTTTGAATGGTTGGTGTTGAGAAACATCATCCAAACTGGTTAGTGAAGCCCTTGAGTTACAGCTGAACCTTGCTCATTTATGAGAAAATGCCTTTTATCTGCAAATAATCTTCTCCCCCTCTCCCTGCCCCTTCACAGACTTTTGCTCAATTGTTTATCTATGGAAGGTTACTGCATTTCTCCACGGAACAAAGGAAGAGCTATTTTCCTTCACAATGCATGCTCTTTGTTTCGCATGAAAATATCAACAAGGAAAGTGGAAAATCATGGGCCTTGTCATCCTATTTATTCTGGGAACGCTGATTTCATTTCAGAGGAAAATAAGTTTTCCTTGAGGTACAAATCCCATCCGTAGTCAATAGCACCTAAGCTTCACTTTTCTGCAAAGCAGCAGCGCCCTGTCCGACTCAGACTATCCCCCATATTCCCTTTTTCTTCCTCCGTTGCTTCCAGCCTGGCACCTCACCTTCCCTATGGCTCTGGGAACATCACGTGGGAAGGAGCAGGACCTGGGATACCATCTCCTTCAGTTCTGAAGTGTCAGTAGAAACGTCTTTGCTCTGACTAGATGCTTTGCTTGATCTCCCACTTTATTTCTTGGTTTTGTGCGGTGTGAATAATTACAGCCATATAACCTCGACCTTCCTCTCCTGAGGGGGTGGCAAAGGCCCCAGGCTCTCTATGCCATTTACTACACTGTAATATTGATAGTTTGAAAGTTTGTGAAACTTCTTCACGGGAAAGATAAGTCTCCTCAGCCACACAGTTCAAAATAGAGGCCAGCTCTCCACGGCTTATGACGTAGAACTAGCAAACTGCACTATCTGTGTTTAAAAAAGTAGTAGTAAATTAATTTAATCACGGGTTTCTGTACATTGTTTTTGTCCCAGCCAGTAAATTAAAAATATCAAGACAGTTGGCTTGAAATCTCCTGCGAAGCAGCCCACAGTATTCCGTAAATAGCCCCACAAAAAATACTTGCTTTGTAGGTTTTTGGTGACACAGAAAAAGAGGCAAAACTTCTCATGCTTTTTAAGGCTGGAAATTTGAGATGACTGAAGAGCATAACACCCATAATGCTCCAGGCTTTTATTATCTATATTAATAAAATTTATTCAAACAGCTTAATTTCTGCTGCGCAATCTGATCAGAATATGACCAGCACTCAGTAAACTGAGGGCAGCTCACTGGTACCCTGGTACTTGGCACTCTGCCTGAAAGGTGGGCAACCAAAAGGCATCAACAGATAAAGGGAAAGGTCGGCAAACAGGATGCGCCCCATGCTGCGGTCTGGAAACGGTACGGAGGCTTAGCCAGAAGCGTTGTTTTCTTCTTAATTACGGAAAGTATAGGACTAACCTAACACTCGCTGACAGAGAGACTGTGAAAAGGAGCACAACCACACGGCACGGGCTGCCCACGAAGGATGAAGCGAGCGCATGTGGGACAGGCGGTTGGATGCATCACTGGAAAATTACCTGGGGAAAGAGCTCCTTGCATCAGGGCGGTTAAACGAGAGCAACCAGTTCATGCCTGGCACGGCACGAGGCACACTTGTAGACATCCTCTCTCCTCTTCTATGACCTCCGGAGGATGTGCCCTTCTGCTCTGCGGCCACGAGGAATGCCAGGACCTGCAGTCGGGAACAGTCTCAGTAACACCCTTCCTTCGGGACCTCGACCCAACGCAAACCCCCGGAGAGGTGATGGGACCTTGGCAACCCTCGGGTTGCCCCCTTGGGTGCTGAGCAGTGAGGGTCCCTGGAGGCCTGGTGCACGGAGACCCCTCTGAAGGAGAGGTGCCGGCCTGGGGATAAAGCGGGTGGGATTTGATGGCACCCTTGTGGGTCTCAAAGGATACGTGGGTGCAGGGGCCGATGCCTTTCTCAGGGCTGTGGAGGCAGGGACAGATGGCAGCACCTCTCTGCAAGCACCCACAGAAACACCCTCCTGGCGACGCGCAGTCCTCAGCGTAGCAGTGAGCCCGAGGACATACCCTGCCACACCTGAACCAATTCAAGCAATAGGAACAACTTCTCCCTTAACATTTGTAACATAAGAAAATGTTTTTTAAAAGAACCTATTCTTCTGAATTATTTTCCCTCCTCCTCTCACTCATTTGCAGATATGAACTATAATCCTAGGGTATAGCTGAAAGTTTGCAATGCAAAAATCACGGACTGCTGAGATTTTCTTATGCCTGCAATGGATTCTAGTAAGGAAAAGAAATCAACATTGAAAGCAAGGCATAGCAATTAATGTTTGGATGCATGCTCATTACTAGCTCTCTACAGTAGGCCAGGCAGAACTGTGGCGCTGCCATAAGCTAGAAAGCATTGCTAATACAGTAGAACACTAGACACAAGTGGCTGCCTCAGCAGAGCGCGACATTGCTGTGTATGCCATGTAAAAAGGCAGTAATAAGAGGTGTGCAATTCGCGTAGAAATACTGAACTGCTACAAGCAGCATGAAGATTACACACTATTATGTGAAAGAACATTAGAGCGGCAAAATGATTTTGAGGCACTGTCTCAGCGCCAGCTTGTTAGCAAGAGATAAAATAGCTTTTCAGAGATTTGCACAAAGATGGAGAGAGAAGGGGAAAGACTGCCAAAGAAAGACTGAGCAATCTGTGGGCAGAGGCTCTTCCACCACCAGTGAAGGTGTGAAGAGGCAGAAGGGAGGGCAGCATCAACGAGAAGGGAGAGAGACGCACTGCGTGGGGATCGATGCACTTCGAATTGCCTTCAAAATGGAGACTTTGGCACAGGCTGATACTCCATTTTATTCAAGTCCTAAGACAGTGAAAACAAAAATGAATCTATTTTCTGTTTTCTTATCCATCCTTGTACAGACAGTTACTTTTATCTGTCTTCATACCACACTGACTCTCTTCATTCCGTGTTCAGTCTCTCTTGCTGTTTTCCTAGACAAACTGTTCAGTCATTCAGGAGTCGATTTAGCGATCTCAATTGCAACACTCAGTGGAAGAGAAAACAAGTTTGCAGGCTGAACGTTATCCCTCCAGGAGGTCTTCAGTCCTACTCCTTCGCCTGAGGAAAGGCATTTGTCTGGGATTTTTTGTTTCCCCTGTAGAACAGAGAACAATGATAATGTTAAATGCTTAAGCAGAAGTAATTGACGTGGCAGCAGAGACAGCTTCTCTCTTTATAAAAAGAGAAGCTCTCTTTTCTCCAGGTGTACACGAAAAGATGCAGGCATGTTGTAAAGATTTCATCATTTATATAGATACACATATGTACACTGTAGATGCAATATAGATAAAAGACACGTCGAGAATAGGTATGATTATATATAGTATCACACAGAGTTGAATATATTTCAAAAGACTGACCCATCCACCTGCCTTCTGACTTATTTTGAGGCACGAGACTCTAACCCCGTAGAATCGCAGCTCCCGCAGAACACCAGGGGCTTCTCAGAGGACGGAGACCTGCCTTTGCAGTGATTTCTACCCAAAGCCGCACCACTTATTTGCTACTGAAACAAAAAAAACAATCGTTTTAGGAAGCTGGAAGAGGAGTAAATCAATGAAGCGTTTGCCCCTGCCCGAGGAGTCTCCGAAGAGCCGATACACTCGTGACCTTACACACACGCGCCTCCTCAGCCACCTGAAGGAGACGTTAGCGCAGCAAGGCGAAAGGGGACCGGC